TATGATTTCCAGCATCCAGTCCTGTGCTGGGACCTAAAGTGGGTTTAAGAATGCATGCTTGTCAGGTCGATAGGCCTGAAATGGTGCAACATCATGACCGTGTAGCAGATGGTATTTCTGTGTACAGAACTTGAAGATTTCCTCTTGATAAGGAGGAGTTCCGAGATGGTAACATAGGTGTGCACCACCTGCATCATTTTAAAAAATACTAATTTGTTAGCTGCATTTGATGTGGAAGCTGATTTTTTTTTTTTTTTTTACTTAGAAAACAGTAAGAATGGGTCTATATACTCCTTTATTTGGTCCTCAAAAGAACTGTCTGAGATCAGTATTACCCTCCATTTGCCAAAAGAATGTAGAGGCCCAGAGTTGAAAAGCTCACCCAAGACATTCACATGCCTCTGTCTCTCTTGACTAAAGTCAGAAGCCTTCCTCTCTGCAGCAGCTTGACATGGTTCCTCATGGAGATCACTTTGAGAGACGAGCCCACACAAGACAGTGGTGATCATGGTTGAGCCAAGGATTCAGAGGGCATCATGATGCCACCCTGCTCACCGAATTGCTAGAGACTTTCTCTTAGACACCCAGAGCTGCCTCCTTTTCAACTAAGAGTACTTTCTCACAGGACATTACAAATGCAGAGGCAACAACTTCACCTCAAGGAGCTTATACTTGGTAGGACTGGCCCATGGGCACTTTGTCCAAATCCTACTCACAGGTGGACAGGGGCCATACTTACGTAACTAAAACAATTATTTTTACTCTCAGCCACTCCTTCTTTGCTAGAATGCTTGAGAAGACACGCTGTCACAAAGAAGATCAAGTAAAGGCCATCAGAAAAGCAAAACTCCTTTCTTTTCTGGCTAACTGTATGACCAGGGAAATAAAGCAGTAAGTTTTAGCTCAGTAAACCAAAAGGGAAGTGGGGTGTGGGTATGGGAGTAAAGCAGCTAGTATTAATATCCCTAATGTGACCACAGGACCATTTTCTATGTAGGCCTTAATTATGCTCCATTCCATGTCCTCTCATTCTCTGATTCCTTAAATTCCAAAACAACCCCAGAGAAATCTTTCTGGTTTTGCTTGGAAAGCAGCACTGTGTTTCTGTGTTTTCTGTGTTTGTGCATTCTAAAACAGGCCTGTCAAATCCGAAAACAAAATACAAGCTAACAGAAATCAGCTACTAACAAATTAAGTTAAATTAATAGAGCTGACGCCTGAAATACAAAGAAAGCTTTTTTTCCCCGGGAATCTCTCTCCCTAGATGCCAGGCTAGATAGAGAGACTACTGCCGACCTCAGGCTCCACAGCAAAGCCCTTTGCTTTGTCATGTTTCCTAGAGAGCCCTGCATGGGAACCCTCTTCAGAACTACTGCTCCCCCTGGTGGCAGCCTCCAAACCCCCATCTACCCAAGTTGAGGACATACTAAAAGACATGATAAATTGAAAAAGAAGAGTGCTAGACCAAGAATCTCTATTTCAAATTCCAACTCTACAACCAAATAACTGTGTACTTCTTGAGCTAAAGAGTTCAGTTTTATGAGTTAAATAATTTGTAAGCATATGCAATAAGTGACAAATTCAGCTTTTGTCCCCTGTAGGTTTTGTCCTAAGTTAATATTAAGAAATGTTTTTATGAAGGTGAATACTTTATCTTCTGTCTTTGTATATACATTTTATGAAATAAAAGAACATGCAAATGGTAAATCTCAAGGTCTAGGTTCGTTCCTTTTCACTCCCACTATTCCCATCCTAGTTCAGCCCCAGAAGCTCTCCTCCTTCTCTTCATCACCTCTGTGAGAATCTTTTCCAAGCTTCAGACCTGCTCAGAAAGCATTATGGCTCACTCAGTAGCACCTGTGCCTATGAGTGGTACAGCTACAAAAGCTAACCGCCCCCACCTTAAAAAATGGGTGGCTCAGGCCCACTGTTGGGAGTGGGTGAGATCAGGCAGATATAGTAGTTCTATTGGGGGGGGGGATGACCTGAATATGGAGATCTAATAAATTGTCTGGAGCTACAGAGAATTAGCCAATAGCCTGCGCCCCTCTCTTCCTTTCTGACAATCTTTACCACTCCCATCCTTCCTCACATTTAATTCTTCATTCAGAGTGTCCAACATTACCAACAAAAGCATCACTGGAAATGCCAAAAAATGGTCTGGAAATTCCTTACATACCTTATTTTCACAGCTTCCTCTGCTGAGTAGGGAAAACCTACTTCAACTGGGTTTGAGAAGTGGATAGGCTGAAATGTAGGAAGGTGAAGGGGTTTCCCAGGGGTGACTACTTAAACAATAGCAGGACCAAAATAAAGTTCAGAAGACCGGTATTCTAGCCTCCTGCTCTGAATGTTCAATTGAAGAAAGCTTTCTGTAGGGAAGAGAGAGATGATGCCGGTTTTAGGGAGACAGCCATCCCAATGGACTTGGAAATTTAGCAAATCTAATCCCTGCCTTTTGAGTGCAATAAAACTGAGTAACAATGGACTAAACGCAATCATCATGAGTAGTCAGTTCTATTGAAATTTAATTAAGCCTACTTTTATTATTGCTGTTTGGAAGTCATTATGGACGCATACATGTTCCTGGGACATCATCATGACTTAAATCATAAAATCAATTTTTAATTTTTTTAATATAAAACAGCCTGAATACCTGAAGGCATTTAGCAATGATAATATAGTTGTTTCTGTTATGATTCTTTTTTAAGATAGTGACATTATTACATATTATTTAGTTTACCAAAGATAAGTGTGTATCGTCATCTTTCTCTTATTAGCTCCTTTGAAATAGACTAACATGTAATTGTTTGAGAAAACTCACTTAGGGGGCACCTGGGTGGCCAGTCGTTAAGCATCTGCCTTCAGCTAGGGTCGTGGTCCCAGGGTTCTGGGATCAAGCCCCACATCAGGCTCCCTGCTCAGCAGGAAGCCTGCTTCTCCCTCTCCCACTGCCCCGCCCCCCGCCCCCGCTTGTGTTCCCTCCCTCGCTGTGTCTCTCTCTGTCAAATAAATAAATAAAATCTTTAAAAAAAAAAAAGTCACTTAGCATTTAATAGATGTGTGAATGAATGAGTGGATGAGTTCTACCACAATCTCTCATGGCTTCTCTCCCACCCCTCATAAAACTTCAGTTCCATTTCAGTGCCCCAAAAGCTTGACTCTCCTCAGCAATTGTGGTGATGGTGTGGAATGGCACTGAGTCAAACACAGACCATCCAGAAACTTCCCTTTAGCTGAGGTTTTCTGTTTCCTTCCCCATTTTTATCAGAACTGCATAAGTAGATTGAAGACTGATACATGTAAGCCTTGCTTTTCCTCTTTCCTGCCTTCCCTCTGCCAAGAGGTAAGAGTAAGCAATGCAATCGGCTCAAGGCCAAAAATGGAGTTGAGGAAGCGTGACATTGCCAGATTGGTTGCCCACCGCAGAATAACTAAAAGCTGATGAGAGGCAGTGCCAAAGTGTCAATCACATAGAGTCTGGAGAGGACCCAGCAAGAGAGATAGTGAAGATAGGAAAGAATTTTATAGTGGGGAGAACATGTTGCTGGGGCAGGAGGTTGGACTCCTAGTCTTAATTTCGCCACCAAGTCTCATGAGTTCTTCTGACATTTGCATGCTTTCCCTCCCCCCACCTTTCCTGAAAAATGACCCCTGTTTCCAGCTTACGTTCTGAGGGTGGATGTTAACATGATATTACGTGAATAGATCTTTGGGCCTTTTGAAACTAAGGAGGTGGAAGTTATCACAAAGATGGAAATGACTGACTCTAGAAGCCCATAAGCCACCTGTAAGGCATTGCTGTGCCATTGAATGGTTTGCTGACCTAAGGCCCAGGCAGGTCCAGGCACTGGATCTCTGAGCTTCCAGTCCTCTCCTCCTCCCTGCCCCCTCTACATTCCCACCTCCACCTATACAATCCAGTCGTCATGACCTCATCAAGTCACTGAGACATAAACTTCAATTCATCATTAGTCACTGATCTGCTTAACTGCCATGATGTAGCAAGTGGTTCTTAGAAATGGCATAAATCCAAAAAAGAACAAAGGGTAGACTAAGATTGGAGTGGGTTTTGAACCTCTTGCTAGGCACTCACAAGGTGATGCTTGTAATTCTTTTCAGGGAAAGCAAAGTGTTGGAACTAGATGGCGACTATTCTGGAATTCCTACCATTGTCCTGAAGGGCAGGTTTTGCCTTCATTTTACTGGGCACCTTCTCTACAAAGGGTCCTTTATTAAGTATTATGGGAAACAATAAGATCTGAGTTTTATACCCCATAATGTTTACAGACTAATGAAGATAATAGATATAAGTATGACTACCTAGAATTGAGAGGTAGTTAGACATACAATTTCCTTCAAACATATGCATCAGGATCCTCTCATCACTATACTTCCTCTCACACACCTCCAAGCCTTTATTCCAGATGCCTTTCTCCATGTCTGGAAGCCCTGCCTACTTTCCACCATCCAACCAAGCTCTATTCCTCCTTTATGATTTTTCCTTCTCCTTAATAGGCCTTTCCCAAACCCATCTGCACCATTCATTCCAGCCTCCCCTCTCATCCGTGATGTGGGTGTTAATATGTATTCAGCAAACATACGCTGTCTACTCCAACTGGTATTTTTAGATCAAGTAATCAACAAGTAATCAAGCTGCATAGGCAATCAAAAATCTCATTTGGGGCTGCTCTCAGAATCACATCAATCAAAGTGGCAAGAGAGCCTGGGTTCCTGAGTGTCACTGTGCCTCATTTGTCTCTATTTTAAAACAGGGTTCCAGGGGCACAGAGGTGGCTCAGTTGGTTAAGCATCCAACTCTTGATCTGAGCTCAGGTCTTGATCTCAGGGCCATGAGTTGAAGCCCCATGCTGGGCATAGAGCCTACCTTAAATAAATAAATAGAAATAGAAATAAAATAGGGTTCCTTTCTGCCTTACCAGTATTGAATGCCAAAAAGGAATCAACTGACCTGATCAGGTCTCCATTTCTTCCTCCAGGATTCTTCTGCAGCCAGATGATTCCTTACAGATCCTGGCACCAGTGGAAGCTGATGTGGGTTTCTACACTTGTAACGCCACCAATGCCTTGGGATATGACTCTGTCTCCATCGCTGTCACATTAGCAGGTAATGTGAAAATCCTGTGTGGTTCCATTCGGAATGACCCTGTTTTGAGCAGATGCCTATGATGTACCAAGCAGGCCCGGGAACACGTAGATAAATGAGATTCAAACCCTGCCTTCAGAGAGATTATAACCTATAATTACAATTAAATGGAGATGAAGTATACAATAGGAGGTAGAATGAAATACGTGGTATAAATGATAACCTAAGAGTGTGCCAGGACATTCATTCCATCTGGGAGATTTTTAGAGTCAGAATGGGTGGATTTTGATAAGCAGAGATGGGGGGAAATATTCCAGGAAGACAGAACAACATGAGCAGAGGAGCTGTGTACAAGTAAGTAACGTGTTCGGGAACACGAGGCGTGACCTGAGATCTTGAATGCTCACTTGGGATCCCATCATTTCTCCTTGTTACACCTGTTACAAAGAAGACTTGAAGACACACGGGCAGTTGGAATTCCACAGTCGTGGTTTGGAGCAGGAGCGTTGTTCTCTCCAATGCTGTTTTATTTCAACCTCTTGCTCTAACGCACCTGCCAACACTTTCCCTTTATCTATAAAGTTAGGCAAAACATTCTGCACATGGTGATTTAAGAAAACTGCAGTGCAGAGTACAGCATCTCCCAAGGTTGTGGTCTTGTCATCATGGACTTCATAAAAACCTCTCTTAACATAGGACACAAATCCTTGCCTTTGAAACTAAAAAAGACCTTAGGTACCAACTGTACCAGTGCCCTCATTTCTTAGAGGCCAAGTCCTGTAACCTGAGGTCATGTAAGCACCCAGCTAGTTGTGGAGATAAGAAGGGAACGGAGGCCTCCTGACTCCCAGCTCATTGTTCCTTCCATTTCCCCAGTGATCCTACCAAAGTAGGATCCTTTTTCTCAGATCTGGGCCATGCAGTCTTTTTGGTGGTACGTTGCATGTGTTTGTATTTATTTTTTTCAATTGCTGCTCCTGTCAGATGATTCAGTAGATGCTAGAAAAGCCAACATCACCCCACACTGACCTCATCGGTCCATGCTGGGATTATGTTGTCACACTGTTCTCTAGTCACACATGCTACTCCCTTGCATATCTGTTTAGCAACAGCATTTCTGCCCCCATGACCTGAGGCTGATCTGGAAAGGGACCTTTAGCAGGAGGCTTTCCAGGGAAGATGAAAGTCAGCAGTGAATAAGGCAAGCTAAGATTGCCCTGGAGTGGATTAAAGACTGATATTATTAATGCCTATTTTTTTTGAGTGAGCAGAACATTTGCTTTCCTCCTAATGTATTCCAGTTACAATCTTTATTCCCCTCTTTATACAGAGTCCAGATGCTCAGCACCGATCTCGTAAAAGCTCTTCTGCCTTCCACACTACAACCTGCCTTTAGCAAGGGCACTGCTGACATCCTTCCCATTGCTGGCAAATAATGGCTCTTATAGGATTAAGTCTCTTGTTTATATTTATCCAGATATGGTTCAGCTCCATCACAGACTAAATACCCTTTGTTCACCTGAATTTAATACGATGAATGGAAACCTGTCTGGAATTAAGTAAGGCAATTGTAACATCAGACTTGTCTTCAGCTCTTTGAAGAAAAGCTAGTGGAGGCTGCCAAAGTGTTCAAAGCCAGAAAAGAGAGAGCAGCCTAAGAGGTACTGAGGAATGGGAGGAAAGGGCTAACCTATGAAGTAGGTCACAAACACCACACCTAGGACCTAGGGGACTGGGTCATTATACTTCAGTACTGGGGTTTGTTCAGATCTGCTGATGAATCTGATAGTCCCACTAAAAATTAAGGGTCAAAATGCGTTTTAATATGATGCCTTGAGATTGGATTTGTGTCTTTACCTGGGATTATCATCTACACCTGTGGCATACCTGCTACTATTCTAAGCGCGCCCTCCACCGAGTATCGTGGGACACTTAGCAATAAATAAGCCCTGAGTTTTGTGCTCCATAAGGCTTACAGACTACCTAGAATGGAGAGATAGTTACAATTTCCTTCAAATGTATGCATCAGGATCCTATGTAGTGACATATAAAATACCACCCTAATATATACACTACATTTAAGGGGAAAATGAGTGTCAAGCATTTCTAGATTTGTTTACCAATTATGCTGCTTACCTTGAACAAAGTCTATAACCTCACTGAGTTTTCATTCTCATTTATAAAAATGAAATTAATAATATCTTATAGGATCGTTGTGAGTTAAATAAGATGGCGCTTAGCCCCATGCCAGGCACATAGTTCACACTCAATAAATGTTTCCCTTTCTTTCTCTAGCTTTTCTAAAATGAAACACATCCTGAAAGCAATTCTAAAATGTGTAAAACATTAGTCCAACTTGGCTTCCATGTATTTTTCATTATAAGTCTTCACACTGAAATTTTTCAAGTATGGCCTTAGGAACTGATTCAGCTCAAATGCAGTCTAATCTTCATGGTAAATCTCTGTGCTTCTGTACTTCCAAAAACATTGCAGACTTTTGCCTTGACTTCTGCATGGATATTAGACCAAAAGGGGAAAAAAATCTTTTTGAGGCTCAAGATACTCAGATGTCCCCATGATTTTGTAAGGAAGGTATGAACTTTGGTCTTGCCAGTGTACCTGAGTTGACCAGAGGTAGGGAAACTTGTTCACAGTAATTCATAAGAGCAGGCAGAGTATGACAGTTAAGCCTGAGGGCTCTGTAGCCTCCTAGTCTGGATTGGAATCCTGGCTCTGTCACTTCCTGGCTATATAACTTTGAGCAACTTCTTTGCTCTCTCTGCCTTGGCTTCTTCATTTGTAAATGTGATAAAAATAGATAAAATAATACTCGATTCAGACGGTTCCTTTGAAGATTAAATACATTCATATAAGATGCTTATAATTGTGCACTCAATATTTGTTAGCTATTATTATTGTGAGGATAATGCATAAAACAAAAGTCGAGTTATTTTTACAGTAGAGGAGACTCCTTTTCAGAGAGTAGAATGCTCACAAGACCTTTGGAGGGCACCTCACCCTCAATGTCTCCATGCCAGCCCGGGAAGTTGGATTAGCTATCTGGAAAGGGCTGGACTTCCTAGATTCAGAGCAAGGGAGATAGATTGTGGTAAGGAATATTTCACATGGGCCTGATGAACTCTCCACAACCAGACCTCTTCCACTGAGCTACCCCATCCTCTGGATTGGCTGTGTTGACAATTCTGCCTCTCAGATTCATTTTAGGTCCGTTGCTACTCTGTACACAATTTTTCTTTAAACATGTAAACACCATTCAGCTTCAGACATTCTCTTACAGCCAAACCCTTCCCTTGGTCTGCCTTCTTTGGGCCTCTAAAATAATGTCTTTGGTATCCTTTTGCTTTTCTCCAAACTCATCCATTACGTGTTGATTTATCTGTAAGTCTCAGAGATTTGAGGGTACTTTGCAAGTGTGTGTCAGCATGGAGATAACCAGCATCTCCCTGTCCCCCTCCCTGGTTCAGAATGGAAGCTCACAGCCAGGTCAACACAGGGCCACAAAATTCCTTTCTGTCCTAAACTGACTTAATTGGATACCTATTTCACTGCTCAGAATGTAGATGACAGTATTATACTGAGGATGGGAAGATAATAGGGGGTAGGGAGGAGTATAAGAATGTCCCCATAATGTCACATACCTAACATTTTGAAGTACTGATTACTTTACATCAGGATAAACAGTTCTGGATAAAGGAGAGTTTCTGGTGTGTACAGAGATGGGCGCAAAGATGGGAGAGCCATCTCAACTAGTCAGATTCAACACTCAGCCAGGTTGCTCAGGAACCTTCCAATCTGAATGACAAAGGCAGCGTTTTGAAGGAAAGCAGTAGTTTGCTGGTAAATTACTTCAGTCTGGATCAGTGGAGTTTAGCTCTACTTACCAATGCAGATGAGTCCTGTCCAGGTGTAGACCATGGATGAGGTCATAGCCATAAGGGAAACGTTTTTGGTTGTCACTGATTTTATAAGATCACAAAAAAGATGCTGTAAGGCCTGCCTGACATCATCACTGGAAAATGAGAAGAAGATGAGGGATGAGCGTATCTTTCATTGAAAGGGGAGAATACAGATGAGCTCATCTGAAGTTTTCACAGGAAGAGAGAGACAGAAAATACTTCTCCTTTCCTGGCATGCTTTTCTGCTTTTTTATGAATCGAATAGCTGACACTACTGTGTCTAATAAAGAGATCACAGAAAATAAAATAAAAGGAAAATTTAAAAAGGCCATTTTCCTTGAAATTCTTCTTTCTCTACCCCTTCCCCATCTGATTTAGTAGCTGCAATAAAAGACAAGCAGTTTTTTAAGGCTTTTATAACATAAGTCATTTAAGATTGGCATTTCTGAAATTTTTATCCAGCATTTCTGTTAACCAAAGGAGAACTTTGCTTCACAGACAGACTCAGAGAGGGTCCTGTCACCAATGACAAAGATAGACAAAGGAAGGTTTTCTCCAGGGCATTAGATCAGAGGCAAAGGTGGACATGTTTGGCTATATTTCAGGTGGTGCTGTGAACAACAGTGTAATGGCCATTGACTAATCCAAGTTGCCATCAAGGGATTTCATTATCTGATATAATACTGAGTAACCAACATCCTTAAGTTTTGTTCAATGTGTACATATGTGGAGCATGCCCACTAAAGAGCCCTAGCTTTTATAGAACTTAGATAAAATGGATAAGAATATAGCAGGAGAATCCAGCCAACTTGCTCTGCTCCTCGGTAGACTAAAGGAAACAAAGAAGTACCAATGATCCAAGCTAGCCCATCTCAAATTCTGAAAAGGCAATTTTCACGTCTATCCAGAGGAATGAGGGAAGAGGATGCATGGTCAGACAGATAGTGGGATATAGCATATCCTGGGTTAGTCGTTTCTAGGAGAGGCTGCAGCATCACATGTTTGTACTAGGTATGCAGTCCCTTGACAAGGATTCTGCACTGGATGTAACTTTTTAAGAAATTACCAACTGTGTTCCAAAGTGGCTGCACCATTTTACATTTC